TTTTTAGTCAAAATAAATACAAAACCTATAAATTGTGAATATAATTTTGATATCGATCGCTTTTTCTTTTTGACTGTCACATTCATTATTGAAAAGCAATTTTACAATTATTGTAAAATTGTAAATACAATTGTAAATACAAGTTTACAATTATTGTAGAATTGTAAATACAATTTTACAACGAATTGTATTTACAATTACAATTACAATTTACAAAAATTGTAACAGTACTGTGCAACAGGCCCCTGAAATACACAGGAATGAATGAAATGTATAGTCATTTTGGTGTATTGTTACATCATGCGTGTTATAAAATTTTTGTAATTATTTTCAAGTAATAATTAATCAAAATTACTTTAAATCTCATATATTCTTGTGTATTCAGGAGTAATGTATTATTCATATGTGAATTTGTGTCAGTTTGAAAATTTGCTATGGAGAAAACAAAAATAGCAGATTACAACCAAAATGGCGACTAAAGTACTACGTGACGTCCTTTTGTTTGAGCTCTGCTATCTAAATGTACAGCAAAAATAGTTATAATGCCATCGTTAGACAGCGTTCCTTCTGGTCAAAAGTTTGAATGCCCCTTTATCCTTCGTGGAAACAAAATGAGAAATAGAGAATTTTCATTTTTTTCTGAAATGACCAATTTATTGAGAGAGAGACCAATTTATTGAGAGCACATGAAGTCTAATGAGTACTTAATTCTACAAAAATTACGACAATTCGCATTCTTCGTCAAATGTTCCGGTCGGTATGATTGTACTGTAGATGCTCTTGAACTGTTCTAGTGAGCATTTTGCTCCACACGATGGGATCTCCAATGGACATGGATTTTCATCATCTGTGTTTCGGTAGATTATTTGCATGTGGTATTCATCGTTCGAAGAGTACACTTCGAAATGAAGACTCGAAGCATACGGTGGAGCGCGTACCTGTAAGAATGAATATGTGTTTGTTTCATGCCATTGAAGGATGGACTAGTTGGAATTTCCACGGAAAATTACATCGAATAGTCCTAGAGCATTGAGAACCTTGGCGATCGTATTTCCAGAGGCTGAGTATAGAAAGAGGGAGCGATCGGGCGATAGAGTTCCATTTATTTTTTGTTGTAAACTCTCCAAAATTTCTCGTATAAAAAATCCACTGTGTAAACGAGCCAAAAGCGTTGTATTGGTTTTGAGTTGGTACGTTTGACCTACAACCCGTTTGAAATCATCATTTTCCAATGCTTCAATTCCCCAAGCGGGCAAACTTGAGGAAAAGTAGGAAAAAGAACGAGTAACGCAAATGAAATACGTGTAAATTTGGTTATTTAAACATCAATCCGCGAAAGTGGCTCATATCTTCATTTTTATCTTACATTAGTGAAACAACTATGGCTCGATTCGTAACTCACATAGTTTGTAAACACGGACAGTGATACGCTCGCTAAGCGGTAGTAAAGGTAATTTGTCCATCGCAAAGCGATCGCATTTTGTTTATCGCATAAATATATTAAGCGTGATGAATTTATGCCGTAGCAAAATCCCATTTAATATAGGTTTCAACCACACCCATGTGCTATGTGACACAATTTTTTTCTTTCAGATTTTGGCTTACGTTTTATTTTGAAGCTTTTCGATCCAAAGTACATTGTATAGACGCTTTGCATCATGAAATGTGTTGATTTCCATTCCACTCCGCTTTTGCAATTGACGGAACATCTTTTTGTGTCGAGCCATAAGAGCGGTGAATTCAGGTGATTCTAAATATTCGTCGAAGGCACGTTCATAGCGTTGACATTTCTTTCCGTGATATAAAATATAGTCTTCTTCTTTTGAAACTGTATAAATCGGTAACGATTGCCACGATAAATCTCTATTCAATATTTGGTCTTTCTTGGATGGAAATAATAAAGCGGCTAAACATATAGCTCCAGTAATTAAGGTACGGCTTTGTTTGCTGCCTGCGAGATAGCGGTTGGCGAAATAATGACAGTATTCGGTAATTCTGATTGAGTTCAACACTTCTACGTTTCACTCACTTTGAACATACACAATATCATCTGAATGAGGGCCATCTCCAAGCAGTGATGCATATCTTCTGCGCAGATAAGCGCCTAATTCATAAGCTTGCTCCACACCAATCTGAAATATGATTCGCATTTGAGTTTGCTTGCCAATTTCATTATTTATTTTCATTCTATATGTAGTTTACTTACTTGAGTAAGCGCGCTTCGACCTTCTGGCCATGATACGTCTCGATTTGGATCGGTTGGAAATGTGCCTATGAATTATTGAATAATCTTATAATAAATTTCTATTAGATAATAGTAGAAAATAAAATGTTGGCGATACTCTTTTTGAAATACGTACGCGTAGGATTGCGATCGCCATGCCGAAATATCTAATTAATTGAAATGTAATATATGTTTGATATAAAAATACAAAATCGAAATTCAACTCACAACGGATGCAATTATTAGTTTAGGTTCATTGTGAATTTCCGTTCGTTTTTTTCTGGTAATATGTATCAATAGCCATATGTTTGCGAACAGACAAAACGAAGAAACCACCACAAAAGCTTTCCGAAGACTTAACTTTAACTTTAACATTATTCTCTCGGGATATTTCGTTTCAAAGTGTAAAATGAATGAAATCAATATGCGACTGAATTAATTGAAATCCGATACAAGAATGAGACGCGTTTATTTTGTGGCCATCGAATGATTTCGAACAAGAAATTACACCTGTGCACACAAGTGGAATGAAGTAATTCTTTCACGGATTCGAGCAACTTTTTTAGCTTTGTCAGCTTTTAATTGCAAATGATATATTTTGCATTTTCAAATATCTCAGGAGCCAGACGTGATTAAGGTTTACCGCGGGGCTAGAATACCAAAATCAAATTCCTATTTAAACATTTTCAACTTTCTCATCCATTTCCAAAATCTGATATCCTACTTGTATTTTTTTCTGAATAAATTCTGCCCTAGATGTGGAAAATTGAAAAATTCAGACTTCCATCCAGGATTTTCAAGCTCGTTCACATTTGCTTATGTGGGTAATCGGGGAAATTTGATGCACACGTCAAGTCCTTCGTTTCAAGATATCTCTTGACAAAGTGAAGTGTCAAATATCATTAGTTGCGACATTTTATCCTTTATATATGAACACTAGCTATCTCGCCTCGCTTCGCTCGGCTCGGGCGCTAGTCGCTTTTTCATCTTTGAGACATCAAATATTTGCAATCTCCTCTCATTCAATTATATATTCATCATTTGTCATAAACTTTTATCAATATTTCGAATGATTCTCTTCTTTCCCCCACCCAGTGCTCTTCGATCCATTCTCTCATCAACCAATCATTCACTCTTTCACTTTCTTCTCTCTTTCTCTCTCTCTCTCTCTCTCTCTCTCTCTCTCTCCATTTCCCCCGATCTTATATTGTCTCGTTAATTATCTTTAATTGTCTTATTCGACACTTTTCATTTTCCAATCATTCATCACCATCATAAATCAGTGTTTCAAGCTTACACAATTCTCCAAGTTACTCTATAAGAAGCCAATCTACGTGTGTCTCCCCATTTTAATTTCATTCAAAACAAATTTCACTCATGTATGGTTTGTCCTGATGCGAATTATGAATTTTTTCAATTTATTTATTTTTAAATGAATTCAAATCTCTTTTACAATAATACGCATTTAATATTTCATTGCCATCAATCCACATTAATGTACATTGTATCGAAAAACAATTTAAAAAAATTTCTTCAAACTTTTGAAAATTTAATTCGAAAATCAAAACGGCATTTATAAGAACCATCTGGAGGCCGGGCGAAATCAAACGGCCCGCATAACATTAGAACCATGAATCAAAAAAGGAGAGATAACTGGCTACATACACATGCACACACACACAGAGAGAGAGAGACGAACATTCAGTTTTATTGGACAAGGGGAATAAATAAAAGTTCGCGTGAATAAGTGACTTGATGCTTATAAATGCAGCGAATAATACATCAGTGCGCTGATGTTCACTTCTTTCGTCGTATTTTCGTAGTACGAATTTTCACAGTCAACTGGTTGTGCCATCGAAGGGTTCGACGTGCTGTCGCGTCTGGGATGCTTATGATATTGAAAACAGTTGTGAATTGAGGAATGAATAAGTGGCTGTACCATTCATATTGCACATTGACGAGCACAGAAATGTGGTATGGTGATTTGTTTCCCGTTCGCAATGTTGAAATTGAACGAATGAGTTGAACAATGTGAGTACTAAATATACTCAGAGACATTAAGCATCCAATGTCCAGGTTAGATGTGCCGTAGAGTATCACATTGGCATACGTTCGCTCATATTATTATTATTATTTGCCACAAATGCTATCACACATTTTGCTTCAATTCGCGAAATCAGCGCCGCTAAAAATGCACACACATGCAATGAGTAAGTAATAATTAAGTGCATTTATTTATTTATCAATGTGAAAAATAAAAGTAGTAATATAAAATATACATATTTTACAAAGGTTCATTTGACCACTCTATATAAGTACTATTTTGAGATCAAACATTTATATTTTTATAACAAATATTTGTTAGTGTTAGCCAGTATTAATTACATTAATGAGCGTGTGTTAGTTCTATATTTATGGACAGAAATCTTATTCTCAATCATTCTGTGGATTTGCTTAATTTTTTGTCTTTCAGATGATTGGATTAAGTTTCCATGTTGGGAGCGGTTGTATGTATCCGCTCGTGTATTCAAAGGCGGATCAAACAGCAACTATTTGACATTGCAGAGTGCATTGGCTATCATTTTAGATTGTTGGACATTGGTGGTGGTTTCCCTGGTGATAACAACACCGATATTAGTGAGGTAGGTGCAAGAACACCTTTTAAATTCAATATTTCTATGATGTTTCACTTTCAAATACCAACAGTAATAAGCAATTAATGTTTAACAGATAGCATCAATCATAAACATCAACCTCGAATTGCATTTTCCATCGCCAGATGTTGCTATTATAGCTGAACCAGGACGATTCTACGTAGCATCTGCATTCACACTCTTATGTTTCATTCAATCTAAACGTGAAATGCGTCGAAACGGAAAATTTAGCTGTATTTTGTATTATATTAATGATGGAATTTACGGGTCATTCATGTCCAACGTAACGGATCATAAAGCAATGTATCCATTCACATTGAAATCATCCGATGAACCAGTATTCAAATCAACAATTTTTGGACCAACTTGTGATGCCCTTGATAAATGAACTTTTCTCTTGGTTTTGTTCTAGTTTATTATGAATTTTATGTTTTAGGTTTGCGAAAATATTTCATTGCCGAAATTAAACATCACATGCGTCGAAAACATTACAAACATCAGACAACTACATATGCATCTAAACAATATACATGTAAAGCGATGGAATATAAATAAACAACAAACATTTCCTGAAATTTCATCAAAATGAGTTTGTAGTATGTAATACCTCACTGATAAAAGTCATTTGAATGCATGAATGTGTGTATGTTTCAAGTCGAATCCACCCACAATTATTTTTTGTCACCGATTTTCAAAATATTGTCAAAATATGTTATTTGAATGGCAAAAAATAAGATCTGCATACTCAGTTTTTTTAATTGTCCCAACTTGTTCTTTTGAGCGGCGCGAGATAGCGGTAGCGCCTAATTAGACAGCGTGGTTGATTGCCAGAACTACATGACATTCTGTCAACGTTCAGTCAATTTACATTTGACATATTTGGTTGCATTCGGTTGAACGAACGTATGAACATTGAACATACGAAACTGTACGAAACATTAAAAGAAAGGAAAAAACTTCTCATAATAAAACAGTGATCAAACTTTCAACACAAAATGTAAATGTGTTTTTTTATTTTAATAAAAATCAAAACAATTTTTCTCAATAATGAACCAAAACGATATATTCAATGTTGCTTGACATGCTTCACTTGCGTTTTGGGGAAAATGTGTGAAAATTTTAAAACTTACTTCAGAATGAAATATTTTCCAAAAAAGTACCAAATTCATGTTCACAAAATTTAATTTTGCAATATCGTTTTGTGGGCATTTTCATAAAAATATAATTTATTCAATAACGAAAGAGAATATAAATGTGTAACAAGCACGCTGTGTGTGACAATTATAACTTACGTACTATTGTGAAATAGTTTGAACTACTAAATGTCAAATATTTAAATTCGCGCCGCTGAATATTTGCTAAATATACCGCAGATCCTAATTAGTCGCTACCGCTATTCACTGTCACGTCAAATACATTGGTTCTTATGGGA